CCAGCGTAAAGGCAAAGAATCAAGAAATGGATTGTCACACGCGAGGAGTAGCAAGGCCAATGTAGCTGAATCATGAGCACTCTGAGAGGAATAAAGCATTAAGAAGCGTGGAAAGGTAAGGCTTTGATTTAATCATTCTAAAGAATTTAAATCAACATGTTCTAATGAAATTAATTTTACTGATCACCTTTAAGAATGCTATAAATTTACTATTCCCCTTCACTAAGGATTGTTATTCTTGAACTGTTTCTTGCTATTTAACAATTCTGGAAAAAACAGATTACTAAGTATTCACTAAGTAGTCACTTATTAGGTACATGAGAGAAAGGAAAGCATTGTGGTATTACATTAAAATTACAATAGCTCTACTAATATTTTTTAAATGAACAATAAAATATTAAAATAATATAATAATTCATAACACTATTCATATGTCTACATTGGATAACTAAGTTAGGGCCCTGAGTTACTGAGGTCAAGTTGGTCAGTTTAACCCCTGAAATGGCCAGGTAAGCTTCACACACACAAACACAATGTTCTAGGATCACAAACTGTACAGCTGGCCCCAGTCTTATAAATGTGTTCTGTGGATCACAAAAGGAGCAAGGCAAAACAGATGAATAGCACAAACCCATTTCCACTAGAGTGAATGTTTGGATACTGGTAAATCAGTGAATCTTTATACATAGTAATTTATATATACATTTTTTAGAGAAACTCAAGAGTTATAAAAATGTTATAGCATAATTTCAAAGTTGTTCATTTGAAGATAATAGGAATGAATGAATGAAAGAAAAAGCATTTTTGAAATTTTTACAGATATTTGATTAAATAACCAGCTTATTAATTTAGACCAGTGCACTGACTTATTAGGGGCATGAGAAATTAGTCCCTATATCATAACAGTTTCCCTTAGTCACTTGTCTTGATCTATAGTATGCCCTATAGAGAAGGGCAAGGCAGTGCAAAACAACACAAATCTCAAAAGGGTTTGGTTTAAGTACAACACCAGCTCTTGTCTGCCCTTCTTACTCTACAACTTTAAATGAACATCCATGGGCTAGAGTTCTCATCCAACGGGGTAAAATAGGGGCTTTGTGGTTTCCATTTCTACCATCATAAGTGCCCCCTCCTCTACTCCCACTAACCTATTTAGGATAAGACTGACTTTGGGAGAGGGCAAAAAATAACCATGTTCAAAAACAAGTTGGGATACGGAGGGTGTGACAGAGGGAGAATATGTGGATTCAACTCCATTAAAATGTTAGTAGAGGGGAAAGAGGGTCTCATGGAACTTACGTTCTACAACAGACTAGAGGGATAAGCTAAGGAAGGATGTCTAGGCATATATTCCAAGAATTCTGGCCACAATGATATCAATGCTATCCAGTGCTGTTGTATCTTCCCTGGATATTGAGACTAGATTCTCCTACTGGAGTCAACGACTATCCCCAAATTCAGTCAGAAGGTGCTCTCTAGAGTGTTGTAGTCACCCTTAAAACTCTTCAGCTCTAGGAAGTGCTTGGCCCTTTAACTCTTCTGGCTGGAGGACACACAGATGACCTGTATAGTTGCTGGGGAGGAAACTTCAGAAGACTCTGTGAGATCCTTAGCTGCCAACAGGTGCTGCCACTGGAAGCTCCCATCATGGGCACTGACAGTGGCAGCCAGTTCACTCAGTGCTTCCTGATAGTGTAGATATTCAAGTATGGCCAAAGATACCAGTTCCATATCAAGCTGTGTTGTAGCCACCTAGCGGGATCAATGCCCTCATAGTGGACACCCTTGAAGGGGGTACTTGTGTTTTGAAGCTCCAGCAGACAGGAGCAGAAGTTCTTGCCCAACAGGGAACAAGGATGCCAGCCTTCTGAATAGAATGAGATCTCAGAGGCACAAATGACATCCAATGCTTTCATCCTGTATAGGCAGTTGAAGCAATGTGGGTTTCCTGGTGTATGCAGCTGCAGAAGTCTGGCATCATCCTCTTTTAGAAGCTGGGACTCATATTTTACCTCCCAGACCTTGGATATCAATTTCTTCCTTCAGATACTGGGAAGCATTGTGTCCAACAGGGACAATGAAGGCCTCTTTAAGACTTCACAGCAAAATCCATAATGGACCTCCTCACAACAATGAATAGCAGTACAAATACCAAACTCCCATAAGGCCATCACCAGCATGACACCCACCCCAAAAAACCAGTTACTAGTGGTAACTCCCTCCAGCTTTGTTAGCTTGGGCTCTGCAGTAGCGATGGCCCCAGGACTAGGAGTTCCCTGGCCATTTCCTTATTGGGGAAGCCAAAGCCAGGCCCAGTGAGAAAATGTGGAAACTAGCGGAGATGGGAGTGGGGGAGACTAGAAAAAGCATTTATTAAAGGCTTATTTATTAAAGCACTGAGAATAAAGATTAAAAATGGGGATTGTTCCTAAAGTCCTGGTGCTCACATTCTAATAGCAGAATACTTCTAGGAGGATTCGGCTACAGAGCAGATGAAGGCCCAATAGTCTTTAGAGTACAGAGTGGCAGAGAAAATGACAATGTATCTTTAGTGTCATTTCCATTGATAAAAAAAAAGTAAATATCCATTGCCGATGTTGAATCACTGACAGTACCAAAGACTTTGGTACAGACTTTCTTTTCTGTGTCTCAAAATGGTTTGGCTTACCTAGCACATGTCCCATGGTTCCCTGCTGCCTGCCTGCTCTTTAATGGTAATTAATCCAATTGGTGGTGTTGGGTGTGATGAGGTAGGGAAGGGGAGAAAGGTAGTTGCTATTTCCAGAGCTGCTGAGTTCAGATTCCTGATCTTTCTCCACCCAGGTCTGAGAGGAGGTGATGGTCAAGGTGGTGACTGCAGTATAGCTCACCTGGCAATGTACTATACTACCTCTTGTTTCTGCCTCAGGACAACTTGCTGTTGCCCTACCTGCCTATTATAATTGTTTAGAAAACCAAACTCTTTGAAGCACTATAAACACAGCAAATAACACTGAATCTGCATTTTAAACCAAGTAGCTTCATTTTTTTAAGTCCTGAAAAAGTTTTGACATCTCTCCCTTCATTAGAGAGGTGAGGCACTATGGACATGGAATACCACATATTTGTTTACAGAGGATAGGTATATTAGTTGGTTTTGTTGAACTATTTTTTTCTTTTTCAATGTTTGTTACAAATTAGGGCTTGCTTAGGTAAAGGAAATGATAAGAGATATATTCAAGAATGAAAATGAAATGGCATCAATAAAAAAAATTAATTAAAGAAAAATATCAGAAATCAAAATTAAATAAGCCCTTTGGGGAGAAAAGAAAGGTTCATCATCTTGAGGACTGATTATGTCTTTGGGACTGAGGTTGTCTGGTTAATTTAATATTGTAGACCAGAAATTTACAATTTTTTTTTAATCAGGCACCTCTAGCAATACAATAAAGTTTTGTGCACATCTTTCCCAAATGTGTATTTACTTATGTATAAATTATGTACATGTACTATTATATAAAGAGACTGCTGGATGGCTCAGTGGATAGCGCACTGGGCCTGGAGACAAGAAGGCCTGAGTTCAGATCCAGCCTCAGACATTTACTAGCTGTATGTTGGCCCAGTCACTTAACCTGTTTCCTCTGTAGGCAGCTAGGTGGTTGAGTGGATAGAGTACCGAGCTTAGAGTCAGAAAGATTTGAGTTCAAATGTGACCTCAGACACTTACAGGCTGTGTGATCCTGGGCAAATCATTTAACCTTTGTTTGTCTTATTCCACTGGAGAAGGAAATGGCAAACCACTCCAGTACCTTTGCCAAGAAAACCCCATCTAGGGTCATGAAGAGTAGGACATGACTGAACGACTGAACAACTACTACTATATAAATAATTATGTGCCTTAGAAAATTACACAAAGTTAGAAATTTAAAAAGGATGATAAAGATCAAATAGCATTTGATCCTAGAGTCAATAAGGATCCTGAATTTTACTGATTAGGAGAATGACTTTGTTAGATCTGAACATTAGAAAAATCATTTTGGTAGCTGAGTGGATTTGAATAGGGAGAGACCTGAAGCAAGGAAATCAATTAGAAGGTTATTACAACAGTCCAGCAGAGAGTTGAGTAAAAAGAGAATGGGACGGATACTAGAGATGTGGAAGCAGAAATGACTAACAAGATTTGGCAACTGATAGGATATGTGGGATTCAAGAAAGTGAGGAATCAAGGATAAAGTGAAGGTTGAGAATCTGGATGATAAGAATCATAGTAGACTCAAAAAACATAAACAGTGAAAATCAGGGAAAGGATGGGTTTGGGAGAAAAGGTAAAGGGTTCCATTTTGGACATGTGAATTTCAGATGCCTAAGAGATAGTATCCAGTTCAAAATTGCCATTAAGTGGTTCATAACATGAAACTGGCACTAGAAAGAGATTAGTCAATCAATCAATTAATCAACAAGCATTTAGATGGCAAGGCACTTTGCTAAATAATGGGGTTGTCAAAGATAGATAAAATATATAAAAAGATATAAAAAGATAAAAATATAGCTTCAAGGAGCTCACATTCTAATAGGAGCAAAAGAATGCAAATGACTATGTACATACAAAATACATACAGAATAAGAGAAAGGTAATCTCAGAGGGAAGAGAATAATAATGTGGAGATCTGTAGCTGGGAACCACCAGAAATATGGTTTTCCTTAATAGATATGGATACAAACACTTGAACAGAACCAATAGCTTCACTTCCAAATGCTAAAAAACCTAAGCTAGCTTATGCTCAATTAATGTGTTTCCCCAAACATAGTCTAATACCAGATTTATTTTTTCTTGGTTATAGAATAAAGAACAATTCAGAAGCAAACAGAATAATTTTAGAATGCAGTACTGTTCACAATTAGAGTGATTATGTTATTCTCTACTAAGGTATTAGTTATTCTTAATTAATAAAAATTAATTAAAGCAAGTTCTTTCTCTTACATGTACTTTATATATCTGCTTATATAAGTTGTATTTTTACCTGCTAATAGCTTGCTCCTCATCAGTTATTCCAGTCTCCCTGAATGCCCTGTTTGATTCTTCCAAACTCAAGGCAATTGCTCTCTGAAGATCATCTTTATCATCTCCAGTGAGATCAATCACATCTGAAAAGCAAAACTATCTTTCTCAAAATTAAAAGTAAAACAAGATGAAAGGAGATTCTTACATTACAGAAATTAGCCCAAATGTAAATCAGTCAAACTAAAGCACACACCTTAAATTCCCTAATTCTTATATATAACTCACACATTATTCAAAAGGCCTAACTTCCAAATTCTACATGAAAACTTAAAGTTAGTCTTATATCATTAACATTATCACCTTTCTCTCATTTCTGAGGTCCCTAAAGAAGAAAAGGCACTTGCATGTTTTTAATGAAAGAGAAGAATTTTCTTTCAGTATTTTATTATAATATGTAAAACTTGACTTTTAGTCCTTCTTGATACACAAAAAACTGGGAGTACAAATTGGGAGAACAATTATTTAGGTAATATTGGTCTCTTTGGTGGCAAAAAAAAGTATATCAAAGCATTTAAATTTTCATATCTTTGTTTTCAAAGATGTTATGACATGAGAAAAAATTACAGGTCAAACTCTCAGTCTTTTGGTATCAACAGTACTTATTTTAAAGAACTTTAATAAGTTAGAGCTCAATTCCACCACCTCAAATGTTATTCAGCAGAACTAGAGTAACCAAATATTGGGTACTAATTAACATCTTTGCAAACTTTTCAGAGGAAAATATAGATATTTAATGTAAGTACAAATTTAAATAGACAGATTTAATAAAATCAGAGTACTCTTCTCTATTATTTTTCTGGTTCTTCTTCCACCAACCATAAAACTTTCAACTATTAACCCTTTCCCTGTGTGTACACCCATACATGTACACACTACATAATTTCACTTTCTTCAGAGAAAAAATAATATCCTATTTCTCTAGGCATAGGCATTTGGGGATGACCATATCCTAAACAAAGTAAAAAAGAAAAAATTACTTATATTTTCTTGAAAAAAACAAAACAAAACATTATTTTGACTATAGTAAAATAAGGGTGGAAGTAACTACACTGCAACGCTTTGTTTGAGCTGCACTTGGCCATAGCGTACAAGATAGTGGAAAGCATTGCAGAATTTAGAGAAGTTGTGGATGTCCAACCTTCATTTAAAGATCTCCTGTGAAAGGGAACTCATCACTTGCTAAGGAAACTCAATCCATTTTTAATTGTTCTAATTATTTGTAAGCCATTTTCCATGTTTAACCAAATCTGGCCACTTTCTAACATCCACACATCCAGCCTAGGCCTACTCTCCAAGGGCAAGCAAGAACAAGAAATCTAATACCAGCTCCACACATATGACAAGACAACCTTTCAAATACGTGAAGACTTAAGTCTTCTCCAGGTAAAAAGCAAACTCAATTCTTTAATCTGCCTGAGTTTTGGTGTCACTCAAAATCCTAGCTTCATCTGGCCATTTCAGATTCAATTAAACATCTAAATTGGACCTACTATTCACTGTATATGATATTGGGTATAAAAAGGCAAAAGTATTAACATGCCTTGCCTTCGAGGAGTTTAATATTTGTGAACACACACCTGAAATTAATTTTTCTGTCTTCCTTGAGTTACCCTATTCCATAGCATTGGAGGAGGAGGACGGAAGTCCTAAAGAAGAAAAGGACCAATCAGTGGCCAATATGACCCTTGCTCAGCCTTGACAAACCAATGATCCTTTGCGTCCGCCCTACTTTGGCCGCACCTGCTGAGCTAGCCCTCCACAGAGCTGACCAGACCAGCTGAAACCAGTTCTGTGGTTTGCAGACTCCCTCTCTCCATCTTAACAGTAAACAAGAACATCCTGCTTCCATATTCCAGCAGTTCCTAGAAGGGACTGCCCCTTTTTCTCTCCCTGTATGTCCCAATTTTGCAGAAGCCCATAAATATCTTAGGCTCTACAGAATAATATCCAAGCCCCCTTCCAAGATAATCAAAATTGCACCACTAAGCTGAAACAAGAACTTAAAGACTTATGGGTTTGTCAGATGTTACCAGCCCTAAAAATATTTACCCTCCTGTCCCTGGTTCTTATGCTAGACAGGAGGCTCAGGAGGGAGAAGTTCATTGATCCCATCCACCAATTTCCTTTTAAACTCAAGAAGGAACCTAGATCCAACAATCCTGCCTATTTTTTTAACTCCTGGACCAAGGTAGAATTTCGGGCCATGGGGAAGGAGTTTCCTTGGGTCTGAGAAGACACCACAGGATTTACTAGAGAATTTCAGCAAACTGTATCTACTTACAAACCTGATTTCCCTGACATTTATCAATTAGTCCAAACTGTAGTTAAGTCCAGGGGGAGCCAAACATTGGTTCAGGGTAGTAGATTGGAAAAATCCTATTGCAAATATTAATACGTCCCACACCTCAGGTCTACTTTCAGAGGGCAGAGTTGGGATCTTTTGGATGCCATCCCTATAGCTTTTCTGAAGCCTGTAGATTGGACAAAAATTAAAGCCTGCTACCAAAACCCCAGCAAATTAGTCTTTGAATTTTATAACTGTTTCCTTCTCACTTTTGATAGAAACACTGGTCTAGACCATAAGGGACCTGCCAAGCTCCTCACTTTGATGATGACCATGATTGTGTGACTCTTCTAGACAGTGTTCTTAACCTAGGAATGACATCAGAAACCCTCTTGCTGGATGCTGTTTCCTTACACACTAATGGATGATGTTTGAGGAATTCTGGAATGTAATCTTGTTTCATGGTATGCCATTACTACCACCACTAATGTCATTGAGACTGCTCCTTTCCAAAGACCATGTCTGCCCAAAAGGCTGAGCTTGAGGTGTTAGCTGGAGCCTACTTACTCATAGCTGGATGCAAGGCCATCTACACTAACAGCAGGGATGCTTTTGTGGCTGTTCATGACTTTGGGAAGCTTTGGAAACACGGGATTTCTGACGTCTTCTGGATAGCCCATAAGAGTATACTGCTCACCTACTGGACTATTTGGTTTTGCCAAAAGCTATAGCTGTTATTAAGGTTCCCTGGTCATAGAAAAGACAACTCTGACCACAGCTGTGGCAACTCTTTAACCCTTTGGTTCCCATAAGCACTTCATTAAGTAGTCTTACATCTCCACTACCTGTGTTGACAATCAAAGAGATTATTCGTGCTCGAGGTTCTGTGTTGCAGTTGGTCGTTAGCAGGCTGCCAAAGGAGGGATACAATAAGAACCCCCCCCCCCACTGGGTTATGGAGAAGAGCAAAAGAACTGTTAGTGCTGCCTCATTCATTGTTCCTCCCTATGATGGAATATTTGCATTCAATTAACCACTGGTCTGGGTCAAGCTGATCGTGCTAGCCCACAAATACTGGCTGGGAAAATTCCATCAGGTGGCCTTAACTCCTTATGCAGCCTACTTCACTTGTGCTAAACCACATAAGCCCACAACTAGATGCTTTCCGCTCCCCTCTGTTCCATTTGAAATATGGAAAATTGATTTAACTCAATTATCCACCTCTGATGGATAGAAGTTTATTCTGCTTATGGTCTGTTATGTTTTCCTGGTGGGTGGAAGCATTTCCAGTTGCTATTGCAATGGCAACTGCCAAATCCCTAAATGAATAGGTCATTCCTGCTTTTTTTTTGGGGGGGGGCGATTCCCTGTGAAATCCACAGTGATAAGGGGTATCCACTTTACAAGTTCAGTCATATCCCATTTGCTACCCCCTTGGCCTATAATCAGCACCTAGCTTGTGTATATCACTCCTAATCCTTAAGAATTGGTTGAAAGGATAAATGGAATTCTAAAAATTCAATTACCTCTGGCTCTGCTTAATCTACAGGCTTAACCCTTTTGGTAAGCTATCCTTAACCCCACATGAAATTATTATGAAATGATCCTTGCCACTGTTCCCATGGGAAGGCTATTTATTTCCACTTAAAGATACTCTCCTCACCTATTGTCATGGCCTTTCAAGAATGATCAAGGAAATTCAACAACTTGTCTCTCATTCTCAATCTGTAGGTCTCTTGCCCACTGAGCAGTTGTTGCAACCAAATGACTGAATCTACTGGAGTGCCAATTGAGAAAGGATTCTCTGGAACCCAGTGGAAAGAACAATATCAAGTCCTCCTGATGATCACTATAGCTGTCAAACTCCAAGGTGGCTTCATCTCTCTCACCTGAAGAAAGCCTCCACCTCTGTCTAGTATGCTTAACTTGGTGAAGGTCTCAAGGTTTGCTTTCAGCAAACCCAGAAGCAGCTGATACCCAGAGGAGACAACCATTCCAAAATCCTGGACAAGGGCTGAGTACTAGATGGTCACACCTTGCCATCCTATCTTTATTACCTGTGTCCTTCTTTGGTTTCTGTTTTGTCTTTTACTACTGTTGGGTTGGCTTTACCATCTCATCACTGGATCTCCTCTGCACTATCAAGATTATAAATTCCCTGCTAGCCCTTTTATTTCCTATTCTTGTAGGCTGCTTCAAACACTCATATGCTGGGAATGTGCAGAAGCTCACTCTAGGGAATGAATTTGGCTAGGGAATCTCACAAATTGCTGGGCTGCACCTGTAATAATCATTCCAATCTGGAGTCCACACATATAGCTCACCCCATTACCTTAGAAACTTGGGCCCACCTCAGGCAAGCAGCCATTCACCTCGTAATAGAGCCCTATAACTACTCATGTCATGGAAGGGAGTGCTGGAGATCCAATAAACTCCCTGAATATTCTGGCACCTCCATGGCCCAAGCTACAATCTTAGCCTGGAACCTATCATTCTGTAATAGCAACCCTATCAAAAACCCCGAAGCAACAGACCTTGGCACAGTTGACTTGCTGTATGCAGTCCGAAACCTCTCTCTCACTGTTGGTTTCAGCAACATGGAGGCCTTTTTGGAAGTTGTAGACTGACTCCCTGGCCAGGGTTGTACTCTAGAACTAAAGAGTTCTAGATACCTTCCTGGCCACTCGGGGAGGTACCTATGCTTATCTAGATGAAGAATGCTGTTTCTATGTTAACAGCAGGGGGCAGATTATCAAAAGAATTAAAAATATTCACAAGGTGGCCTGCATTTGACTGACA